TAGGGCAAAAAAAATTTTGGACCCTTAGAATTTTTTTTTTTTAGTGTTTTTGTGTTATAAAAATTTTTTGTATGATATTTTTAATAAAAATTTAATTACTAAAACTAAAAACAGTAAATAAAAAAATTTATGGGCCCTTATAAATTTTATTTTAATGTTGTAATTTAATTTTTTAATACTTTTATAAATATATTTTTAAAAATGGGCCCCTTAATTATTGGAACAGGGGATTGGGCCCCTGACCGTCGCACCGCCCGCCCCTATATCTGAGCCGGCACTGTTTAAAATGCTATTTATTGTACCAGCATCTCTTCTCTTACCGTTATTCTCATTTTTTTTTTTCCTTCATTTTAAATAACGAAAAATTAGAAGTATGAGAAATATATGTATTCAAGATACATGTATGGCAGTATGGGCCTAATAGATAATAGCCCATTAAATTTCCTTATTGATCCGTTTAAAGCCCATTAATATTTACCTCATCAAGAAATCCAAAATCTGAAAAGTATGTGGCTATGTGGAAGCAGAGGCTGGCGCGTGCCTTATCTGCTTCTCTCTCTCTTCAGTGGTCTGAAATCTCTCTGTGTGATCCCACTTGTCATCCTCCTCCACAACATAAAGCTTCAGACCAAAACCCTTTAGCGTTTTCGGCTACAGCTTTCGATGACTACATCAATGGCGTCCTCCTCCCTTTCCCCTGCTACTCAGGTTCATTCTTGATCATTCGAATCGAAACAATCGGGTCTTTTGTTTTAGTGATTGGGTTTTTGAAAGTTTTTTTTTGGTGGCAGCTTGGTTCAAGCAGAAGTGCCTTGATGGCGATGTCGCGTGGGTTGTTTGTGAAGCCAACGAAGACGAATCATCAAATGGTTAGAAAAGAGAAGATTGGATTGAGAATTGCTTGTCAAGCGTCGAGTATTCCAGCAGACAGAGTTCCAGATATGGAAAAGAGGAAGCTTTTGAATCTTCTTCTTGTTGGGGCTCTTTCTCTACCTACTGGCTACATGCTTGTCCCTTACGCTACCTTCTTTGTTCCTCCTGGGTCTGTTTACTTTTACTCTGTTCCTCGATTTGATCCAGTTTTGTTCTCGATGCTTGCTAATGAGAGATTTATCGATTTTGCTTTCTTACTTTTGGAACATTGATTGCATTAGGGAGAGTATTTGTCTTATGTTTTGTATTGATAAAGTTTGCATTTTTGCTCTTCCTCTTGTTTTAAAAGCCTTTAGAGTATCTTTTGAACATGTATCCGAATGAGACTCATGGGTTTTGCTTTCTTCTTTTGAACATTGATTGCATTAGGGAGAAAATCTAGAGACTCTTTGTATTGTGGTGAAGTTTGAGTTTGCTTTTGTATGTTGTTAGCTTTTGGTTTTGATTCAATCCAATATGTAGTTATGAATACGTTTATGTCTACTTTGGTGTTACTGAGATGTGAGATTGATGAGACTTGATATAGTTTCTTTTCATTTGTTGTCCTGGTTTTTAATTTCTATGCTGTTTTGAAAATGCAGAACTGGAGGTGGAGGTGGTGGTACTCCAGCCAAAGATGCACTTGGAAACGATGTAGTTGCAGAGGAATGGCTTAAGACTCATGGTCCCGGTGACAGAACCCTGACCCAAGGATTAAAGGTAAGAAGATGAACAACTTATTTAGCCCTCCTTGAAACACTACTTTAAGATCTCAATAAAGGTTTGTGCATCTCAATGTATGGATTTTATGTTATAGGGAGATCCGACATACCTAGTTGTAGAGAACGACAAGACTCTAGCAACATACGGTATCAACGCAGTGTGCACTCATCTTGGATGTGTTGTGCCATGGAACAAAGCTGAGAACAAGTTTCTATGTCCTTGCCATGGATCCCAATACAACGCCCAAGGAAGAGTTGTTAGAGGTCCAGCGCCATTGGTAAGTCACATACAATTACACACTCTCTCCCTGCGTATCTCTCGAGTATATTTTCTTAAGTAAACTTGTTTTCATGGAACAGTCACTAGCTTTGGCTCACGCGGATATAGATGATACTGGGAAGGTTCTTTTTGTACCATGGGTGGAAACTGACTTCAGGACTGGTGATGCTCCATGGTGGTCTTAAAATTCTTCAACAAGAGAAGAAGAAAGATTTGGTCTTTTTGTGTAAGACTTGTTTGAATGTTCTTATAATGTAAAAGCTGTCCGTAATCATACATTTCATGGCAATTACTCTGTGAATTCTTCTTGCCTCATATATGAAATATTATATTCATTCACTTCCCAAGTTTCTTGTTTAATTTCACTTTTTCAAGACTCGTTTTGGGTGTATCTAAATTTTCTTAGTTGACAATGAAACATTTTAAGAAGCTATATAAATTTCTTAATGTAATTTCTAACAAAGGCCCGTATAGCTCAGTGGTAGAGCGTCAGTCTTGTAAACTGAAGGTCCGTAGTTCGATCCTGCGTGTGGGCACTTTTTACTCCATTGCTTTTTTTGTTTTCATTTCATAGCACACTTAAACTATATTCATTATTTTTTCGCAAATGTTATAATTTTTACTCACCATTTCTCTTTGCTGTAATTTGTTTATCAAGTGATCATTAAACTGAGAATGTGAACATATGTCATTTAGACCAAGGTTACTTTTTTGTCGTTGACATATTTTCTTTATTGTTATATTGTAAAAGTCAATTCAAAGAATCCACATAGTTGGGACAGTACCACATAGTGCTTCACCACCACTCCAAAGGATTTGGTCTTTTGCCGGCTAAATAGCTAGTAGGTTAACAATTAACTTTAGAACTATAATAAAGTAAAACAGTAAATCATTTTGTTTAACCAGTCAAAGTGGTATCATGCTCTTCTTTAGATCTATTGAAAAATTTGGTGAGTAAACTATTCGACGGTTATACTCACCCTTAAGATAGTCGAGCGGTAAAAAATCGGATCACTCTCTGGTTATTAAGAAAATAACAATAATAATACATTGAATTTGAATCAATGTTTAATTTAGTATCTTGTTTGTTTGGATATTTAAATTAATCGAATTGGTTAGAAAAATCAAAAACTTTGTTTTGTCATACAAATAAATATTTAAACTAGTACTGTATGAATAAGTTTGTGATAAATATGAATTGACTAAAATTAAAATTATGTTTTTGGGTTGAAATTTATAGAACGGTCGGCTTTTACAAGACTTTGATACAACGCCACAAGTCTTCTTTAAAAGACCCAACATTTCCTCTCAACCAACAATAAAACAAATCTCTCTATCTCTCCTATTTTTGTCCCATTTACATGTTATTATCTCGAGCTTTTGGCTAAGATTTTCCACCAATTCTCTTTAACATTCTCCTTAGTTTCTGAAATTACCCTCACCGGGTCTCCAAGAGGCCAAGAAAGACCCTTCTTTCTCGGCTTCTCGGAGTCTCATCATTCTCTTTTGTGCATTTTCTTCCTCCACACGCAACCTCTGAAAAACCCTAAATTTAAAAAACAAATGGATTCCACGGAGCTAAAACGTGTGTTCCAAATGTTCGACAAGGACGGAGACGGTAGGATCACTATAAAGGAGCTGAACGAGTCATTAAAGAACCTCGGTATCATAATCCCCGAAAACGAGCTAACGCAAATTATCCAAAAGATCGATGTTAATGGTGACGGTTGCGTTGACATTGAAGAGTTTGGAGAGCTTTACAAGACGATAATGGTCGAAGATGAGGACGAGGTAGGAGAAGAAGATATGAAGGAAGCGTTCAACGTATTCGACCGGAACGGAGATGGGTTTATAACGGTGGATGAATTGAAAGCAGTTTTATCTTCCTTGGGACTCAAGCAAGGTATGAGCTTGGAGGAATGTAGGAAGATGATAATACAAGTGGATGTTGATGGTGATGGTAGGGTTGATTACAAGGAGTTTAGACAAATGATGAAAAAGGGTCGGTTTTTTAGCTCTTTGAGCTGATAATAACTTTTTTTCTCTTGTTTTTATTTTTGGTTATTTACTTAACCATTTTCTCTTGCGGTCTAGAAGGAAAATCCATGACCGTAGACTATTTATCGAATTGTCTAGACTTTCGAGAGCACATTGTAAAAATCTGTAGGTTCCTGTTTATAATGTGATGAGTGATGCTTTGTTTAACATTAACATTCAATTTACCTTGAATTTCAAATAATGCAGATGTCGAATAATAACGTAGATATACTCTATGTTGTTTATACGTATTCTATAATCATTTAAAAACAAAAGATCTTCAAACAATTGATACGATCTTTATAAATTATAATCCGCACTAAGATCACAAATAAAAAATAAATACCATTAACACCAGAATTAATTTGTATTTAACATAATAAAATTTTCTCTGATAGATTCAAGAAACTTTTTAGTGTTAAGAAACGTCAAGTCGTCAGGCACCATATTAATTAACGCAAACAAAGAATCTGGACGTATAATGGGCCTCTTTTCAGAGTAAAAGGGCCGAAGTATTGAAAGGACTTTTTAGTGTTAAGCGTCAACCATCCTACAATTTATTACATTTGGATGTATATTGGGCCTTTGGTAAAAATAATGGGCCTAGCTTATGAACTAAAGTTTGCTAACTACGTCAGTCTGAATACATAAGCACAAACGTTTTGCAAGTAAATTTTCATTATAAACAACAATGGTAAGAGAGAGACAGTCCGTTCATCTATAAATTATAGGTCGAGAACAAATAATTCGTCTTTCATCATGTATAATCTTTTTTTTGGGTATAAATGTTAAGATCGTGTATTAACCTAATAAATTCATCGTTGATCATCTATTAATCAAAATCCCATGTCTTGTTCGTCTGGTGGTTTACTTAAAAACAATTCTCAAGCTCTCTTGATACCAAGGTGATGAGTTAGGCAGTTGGCAAACAATTTGAGGGTATTATAGAGCATTATAGTCCGTTGTAGATCTATAGCTTAGACATATTGGATTCACCATTGAAAAAGCACGTATTCACACAAAACAACCCAAAAACTGAAAAGACAAAAGCCTCAGTAAGAATCCATATAGCTTCATAGAAATTACAGTTTCTGCCAAGGGGTTCTCCCTGATAAACAGGGTCTCAGCTCCACTGCACCTCGATAATTGGATTATATCATCATCGGCAGACAACAACAAAAACAATTACAAAATCACAAAAAAAGGCTCAGATTTTTTTGGTATACAGGTTCTTCTATCAAGACTTTTCTGAAGCAGAACTGGTTTTAATCATCACTGCCCTCAAAACAATAAACACCAACAAGACTCAGAAAAAAATAGAATGAAACTTTTAGAGGCTCATATTAAGAAATTCAACCATTGTTTTCCGTATACTTCATAGACCTAAATCTCAGAAGCGCGGATATTTTGTAATCATAGCCCAAAACACAAATTCAAATTCAAAAACAAAATCTAGACATTGCTTTGACACAGTTAAGCCGGATTATAAAAGAGACAGAACTGCAACACGAATGGCATCAATCTAGCAGGAGCTTTGGGGCTTAATTCTTCATCAATTATATATCAGATTAGCCCGGGAGGCTCCTGCGAAACTTAAAATACCAATTACCCTAATTCTAAAGAACCCTAATTTACAAAGTATCGTGAGGTTGAGAATGATGGAATTGATTTTCGACGCGGCTGTTATATAGAGACTAGAGAGCAATGCGTTGATTTAAAACCCTAGTCTTAAAACACCGTCTTCCAAAAGTCGAAACTACCCCTGCTAATTGACTTTCCTATTCTTTGTTGTCGGTTTAATGTGAAACTGTTGTGGTATTTGGGCTTTGTATAAAAGCCCAACTTCGAAATTTGAAAAGCCGAAAGGTTCGTTTACTAAAATGTCGAAACTATCCCCAGTAATTGATTTGCAATTGCATATTCGTCATCGCCGATGACTCATCGGTAATTCGGTATATTGTAAACCAGCTTGGTTTTATGATTCTACATTACTCCAAATATTTTTATTTATTTTTTTACTCGTAAACCCTAAAACCTCGAAAGTTGTCGCCGGCGAGAAAATATGGCGACAACCATCGACCGTATCTCTCGTACATTCCTAGCTCCAAGGTTTTTTCTCCTCGCATCATTTTTTTTTATTATTTTGCTGCGTTGTCCAGTTAATTACGATTTGGATTTTATTCTTCGATTGATCATTAATATTTGCGACTAGTGGATTTTTATTTGTTTACAAAAAAAAAAAAAAAAAAAGTGGATTTTTATTTTTATTACCGTTTTACTCATCAGTTTCTTCGATTTTTCTATGGACTAATTCTACATATATGTGTTGATTTTCGCTCGTAGAAAAGGAAGATATTTAAAAGTTTAAATAGTCAATTTTGTTAAAAATTATTTACATGTATGACTATAATTGAACTAGCCTTTATTAATAGAGATTGATGTGTTTTCACAAAATTAATAAAGCAGGAATTATCAAAGTCCATACCTAAAGAAACACTTGAAACCAACAAGGTTGTGTTTCTCCAACTTTGGTTCATCATTCCCAAAATCAAGTTTGCAAAGAAAGATTGTTCCTCTTCTAGGTAATAAACTAATAAGTACGTTATTGTCACTATTGGAAGCTTGTCTCTTGTAATATAATGACTCTTTTGTTACTGAAAACTTGTTAATTTCCAAACTATGCAGATGTGGACTTTGCAGCATCATCATCATCATTCAACCATATATTTGATAATGACCGGAGGCTAACAAAGCCTGTGGGTACATTGAGAGCATCTAAAGATGAAAACTGGATCCCAGGAGCAGCAAACGTATTGCTAAAGAGACTTTTCTTGACTTTTAACATCATCATGGGAATGCTTCTGTTGGCAATTAGTGAGTTCTTCCCATTGATTAAACTCAATAGACGGTTAGGGACGTATTTTATGATGGTGTTCGGGTTTAGTTCCATATGGTGCCTTGTGGACAGTTTATTGTGCGTAATGGCAGGAATCTATCGTCTGATTCATGTAATCATTGCCACATTCAATTGGCCGGTTTTGAGAACGTTGCTCTACTACTCTTTCATTGTTTTGAAAGAATTACTTGTTTTTTATTGCAAGCTAAGAATTTGTGAATTTTGTTTGGGCATTTTTAGTCTTGTCATGATTCTTTCTGATTTTAAATAAGAGTGTGTTTCTCCAACTTTGGTCCATTCCCCAAATTAAAATTGTCAGTAAGTCCACAAAGACAGATTGTTCCTCTTTTAGGTATATTTTGGTTTTCAAATATTAAATCTTGGTTTTTAAAACATATATATAACACTTTACACTGAAAACTAATTCCCCAAATCTACAGCAAACGCAAATGTGGATTTTGCATCATCCAACCAGCTCTTTGGTCATGGTTTGCCTCCACTAGCTCTCGGTTCGAGAAGAAACCTGAGACCAAGAAAGCCTGCGATTGTGAAAGCATATTATAAAGATAAGAACTTTTCAAGATTCAGATTACCAAAAACCGAAGAGAGACCTGAATGGTTTTGGATGATCATGGCTTGTGTACCTCATTTGATATCCCTCAAAATGTCTGAAATTGGTTTCTACATGAAAAATTTGTAGAAACGATCATATACTTGATCCCAGGAGCAGCTAACAACTTGCAACACAAGTTTTTCATGGTGTACTGCGTCTTAGGGTTCATGTGGATGGTGAAGAACAGAAACTTACCTCATAACTTTAGGTTTCATATGATTATGGGAATGCTTTTAGAAACAGCAATGCAGATCATATGGCGCGCAAGCGAATTCTCCCTGTTGATTAACTTCAATGGACGTTTAGGGATGTATTATCATATGGTGATGGGGTTTAGCTTCCTTTGTATTCTTCTTGAATGCTTAATTAAGATGCGCATTGGCTGGAACCTATCCTCAGATTCCAATCATTAGCGATGCTGCGTATATGCACTCACGATTCAATTTGGGAGATTGGCCCAAGGCTTTGAGATTTCTGAAGCCTAAACCTAGCCGTTAATTCTACTCCTTTCTAATTGTGTAATACTTCTAATGTTGGAATATTGAGAGAAAGAAGAAAAACAGTGAAAGAGACATTTGTCTCTTCTCTTGTAAAGAAGACAAGAACAAAAAAATAACTCTTTATTGAATCTGAAACTTGTTATTTTATTAAGACAAGACACACACTTATATACATGTTTACATAACTCTACGTAACCGTTGGTAACAGTTGTAACTTATCTCAGAAGTTACGTCTCTTACTCACACACACCCGTTCGAGTGAGTCACATGTAACACATGACATCCGTTGAATTTACCACATCTGATATTAAAAGATTTAATCATGGACTCAATTCTAACATCTAATTTGTTGTTTTTCATTAGTTTTTCTTGAGCAAAAATAGATCGTAGTTAATTATTTCAAAAAGAAAAAAAAAGATAGTAGTAAACCGGCCTAATTGAATTCGGTTTGAAGTTGAACAAGAAAAAAGGTAGTAACCGACCTAATTTTGCGACATTGGGCTTTTGTTGATAGCCCAATAAGGTATACTTTCACTAAAACCGACCTAAATAAAATGTAGCCACCTCGTCAAAATCAGGTAGCTTCATATTTCTTGCACGTAAAGTTTACTCTAGTCCTCCTCGCCGATCTTGTCTTTTTCGGTTTTTGATTTTTTTTTTACTATCGAAACCCTAAAGCCTCGAAGGTTCTCTCGCCGGAGAAAAAATTATGCAGGGTTTGGCGGCGACCACCACCAACCGTGGCTCTCTCACCTTCCTCGCTCCCAGGTGACATAATTAAACTCATGTTTTCGTTTCTCCTTTTCGATCTCTCTCTGATTCTTCGATTTTGGAGTTCCTCGTTCTTTCGATGATTTGTGTTGCATCGTTTGATTCTTACGATTTTTCGATTTCCTATGATTTTATATATGTTTAATCTTCTTCGCACTGCCCTGTTTGAATCGTCAATTCCAATGCAATTCAAATCAATTTCTTGAGATTTCGATTGATTTTGCTGGTGAAGAAATTTGAAATTAGGGTTTCGAAATGGGGTCTTGCACATGCCCTTGTTATAATCTTTCACAAAGATTTGATGTTGTTGTTTACCATTTTTGATAAACCAGGAACCATAGTCCAATTTCAAAGAAACTTGTGAATCCAAGAGTGTTCTTCCCCAACGTTGATTCATCCCCAAAATTAAGCTTAATTTCACAGAGATGTCCTCGAGAGATTGCTCCTCTTACAGGTATTGTTTGGATACAAGTTTATTCTTTGCTTGTCCTGTACCATGGCTTTCATGTGCTCTTTGTGATTCAACTGATCCCGACTGTTGAATTCTGCAGCGACTGCATCTGTGGACTTTGCAGCAGGATCATCACCTAACCAGCTCTTTGCTCATGGCTTGCCATCATTAGCTCCTGGTTTGAGAAGACACCGGAGACCGATAGAGCCTGCAAGAGTGGCTAAAGATGATTTCTTTAAAATCAAACTGCCTAAAATCGCAGAGAGACCTGAATGGTGGTGGAGGACATTAGCTTGTGTTCCTTATTTGATATCCCTCCAAATATCTGATGTTGGGTTCTATGTCCAACCGTTTCTAGAAAAGCACGATGCGATTGGAGACATGATATATTTCATCCCGGGAGCGATAAACAGATGGCCGACCTGGTTCTTCATGGTGTACTGCTACTTGGGTTATATGTGGGTGGTGAAGAACAAAGAGCTGCCTCATTACTTGAGGTTTCACATGATGATGGGTATGCTTCTTGAAACAGCTCTTCAGGTCATATGGTGCACAAGCAATTTCTTCCCGCTGATTCATTTCAAAGGACGGTTTGGGATGTATTATTGGATGGCCATCGGATTCACCTACATATGTCTGCTTCTCGAATGCATACGGTGCGCTCTTGCTGGAGTCTATGCCCAGATTCCTTTCATGACAGATGCTGCTTCCATTCACACCCTCTTCAACTTGGGAGGTTTTCAGAGACCACTTAGGTGAAAAGCGAAACAGGTCCTTCACATACTTGAGATAGGAAGTAGGAACGTCTTATAGTCTCTTTCTTTGGAGGAGGTTTTTGGTTGTCTTATCGAGTCCACTCTTATGTGAATTCAGTCTTTTAGCTTAGTGTCAGTGTCTCATCTCATGTGTGTTACAGAACTCTCTACAAGAGTAGCT